TCAGCTAGGGTAAAAAGCCCTCGCAGAAAAGTAGCCAGCTTGGCAAAAAGTCAAAATGTCCTTGGGCTTCTTCGCAACATTCTCTGTTCCAAAGGCCAAAAATGTCAAAAGTATTTGGGAGCTTTTATCTAATCCTTAAAAGATTTTAGGGTTACCACTTTAGAAGGGAAAATGTTAGAGTAGCCACAAGCCCCATAAAAAATAAATCAAAGAAGAAGAACGAGTACATGAAGTTATCAGAAAAAAAGTGATGGGGAGATATGGGAGGAGTTGGAGGGGAGGGAGAGGGCATGGATTTGATCAAAACACCTTATGCATGTATGAAATTCTCAATAAATTTTTTTTTCAAGAGCGGTTCCCTCTGGGGAGCCTACGCAGGAAGATGTACCTTAGACTCTATACCAGGCTTCCTCAGCCTAATTGATTGGCATTCTAGGACACCTCTAGTTGTGGGAAGCTGCCCAGTGCACTACAGGATGTTGAGCAGAATCCTTGGTCTCTGTCCTGCTGATGCTACTTGTAACAAGAACATGTCTCTACAGCTTGCCATATGTGCCTGAATGAGGCCAAATCCTGCCCCTTGTTGTACCACAGTCTTTTTTAAAAAAATATTATTTTTATTTTATGTATATGAGTGTATCACCTGCATGTATGTGAGTGCACCCATGTCATGCAATGCCGTGGAGGTCAGAAGAGGGCTTTGGATTCCCCTGGAACTGGAGTTAAGGATGGTTTGTAGCTGACATGTGGGTGCTGGGAATTGAACCCAGGTCCTCTGCAAGAGCAGTCAGTGTTCTTAACCGCTGAGCCATATCTCCAGCCCCTGAACCACAGTCTTACATCTTTTTTGCTTTGCTTGATATTTTTTAAAGCTACGTACACTTTATAATTCATTTTTTAAATCAAGGAAGCAATAGAGAAAAGAGTTCAAGACAAAGATGATAAACTAGCAGCTAACAGTTGGAATGTAATACTGGTTTGGAGCCTTACCACATTAAAAAAATCTGTGTGTGTATATGTTTCTGTCTGTCGTCTGTGTGTCATGTGTGCGTGTGCATGAGGTCAGAGGACAACCTCAGGTGTCAGTTTTTGACTTCCACCTTAAGGAAGGGTCTTTCGTTCACTACTGTGTACTCCAGGCTAGCCAGCCTTTGAACTTCTGTCTCCACTTCCTATCTCACTGTAAGAGTGTGTCAGGATTACAGACAGGTTGTAACTGTGTCCAGCTCTACATGCGGTTCAGGCTGTCATGTTGCATGATGGCAAGTGCTATACCCACGGAACTATCTTCCCAGCCAGCCCTCACCATGTTAAAAAAAATGAATAAGTTATCAATATTTAAATGGAGGCTGGTATAGTGGCACACCCCTTTAATAACTAGGGCTACATAGTAAGACCCTATCTCAAAAAAAGGGGATCATTTCTGCATTTGATTCTTCTGATCTTGTCGTTCTAGGTTCATATTCTTAGACAGCTTGATTTCTAGGTGCTGAGTAGCAGCTTCTCCCTTCAGGGGGAAATGAAGTCTTTACTTGCCTTATTGCAGTCAACTGCTTGGCTTTTGAGCCAGGCATGGTGGCACATGCCTGTAATCCCAGTACTCAGGAAGCTGAGGCAGCAGGATTTTTGAGTCCAAGGCCAGCCTGGCCTAAATATTAAAATGAACAGAAGGAAGGGAAAGAGGGAGGAAGAATGGGTGAAAGGAGAGGAGAGTAGTGAGGAAGACCACAGCTAGTTGTCTCTCAACTCAAGGCCAAGCTGGGTTTGAGATCCTTGTAGTCAACCACCACATCGTGGGCTTTCGGTGTTTCTCATATAATGTTCTGCCCTTACCTGCCATTGGGTCCGCGCCTGGAGACAGTACAAAAATCAGTGGTGTGCAACAACTGGAATCATTGTAGGATCCCTGGAGATCAAAGGTGGGGGCTTCGATGAATGTCTTTCCCATGTTTTCAGAAATGAACTCTCGAATGGCTGGGATCATCTTGTCAGGCCTCAAGCATCGTAGGATTACCATCTTCTCCAGTCCTTGAAGGAACTTCCAAGGTGAAGGGAATATCTCCTCATGGGGACAGACTGAGTCATAGATTTTCTTCCAGTCATTGACGTTTTGCTCCACATGTTCCATTAGACCTTTCATTCTCGGTAAGGAGGATGCTCGAACAACCTCACCCCATGACTTCTCAGACAACCATTCAGAAGCAGGATTGGGGAAGGGGTTTTCCAGGGCCATACCTCCCGTTAGAAGAAAGTACCAAATTTCCTCATTGATTTTCTTTTTCTCTTTCAAGATGCTGATGGTCAGGAGGAGGGAGAAGAGCAGCTTGTCTTTCTCAAATAGAGAGCGGCACACGTTGTTGTAGATGCTCAGGGTGAAATGTTCGATGATGTACTCAATGCGCAGATCTAGCTCTTCACTCTTGCTGCTGTTGGCCAGGGACTGCACGTAGAGGTTGATGAACCATGTCAGGGAATATTGGTACATGGGCTCAATGTGGGCCAGGTCGGAGATGCAGAAGAAGATGGTGGCAGAGTGGATTGCTACTGGCCTGTAGCCCATTCGGGTCTCATCGATCTGTGTTTCTGTCACAGAAGCTATTTTCTGCTTCTCAGAGATTTCCTCAGATAGCATTTTGGAAGAGGACAAAACTTTGATGGCAGTTTCATCCTCCAAGATGTTGCCCTCAGACAGGGAGAGGACCTCTAGGATCTTATCTTCAATTTCCTTTAACTGCTTCTTATTCTGGGCACTTTCTAAAATCAACTGGTTCTTTTTCTCTTCCAGTTCTGGCTTCTCCTTGGCAGCCACAATACCGAGGAGTTGATCTTGGAGACCCAAGGGTGTGATCATGAAGTTGAGGAGACAGACTTTCACAGCAACTTCAGGGAGATAATGTGGATTTCTCAGACGCGTGGTGATATAGAACTTAAAATCCCTTGAATATTCGATGATATTTTCACCCAACCTCATGTATTCAATCCCTTGCTGTTTGAATGTTGCCTGGAGCAAGATGGGTTCAATAAAGGCATCTAGCTCTTCTCCAACGTTTTCCAGTAAGACTGGGGTGCCAAACTGCAGGGCGTTTTCCAGTGTCCTCACATAGTTGGTATCAGAAAACTTGATGATGGACAGTTTGTTTGTTTTTTCCATGTTCTTCACCCACTTATTGGCCTGCCCTTGAGGGTCAATCATCAAGGGCCAACGTCTGGAATTGGACACAATGATGCCATTGTCAATAGAGAAAGAGTCAACAGGAAGCCCGGCTATCTGCCAGGCACGGATTTTTATGGGATCCCCTAATGTGTGGCTGAGACTGAAGTCGGTGGAGCCAGGAATGACTTTGTCCTTACAGCACTGTAACCACTCATTTTGACATTGGGCCCGATAATCTACTGTGAAGGCGCCCAGGTAAGCCACAGTCCCCGAGGACACCAACACGTCCCCTGTCAGGTTAACATAGCGGACCCCCAGCTGCCGGGCAGCTTCTGTCCATCTGTCCTTCTCTCCCCCAAGACCACTAATTAGCTTCTCTGCTCTGATTAGCTTCTGTGAGCAGATCTCAATATTTTCCTCCAGCATCTTTTTCTTCATGTTCATCTCTTCAAAGTCATTACTGAGAGCCCGGAGCCGGTCTTCCACCAGTTTTAGCTCTGCCCGTTTCTGGTTCAGCTTCTGCATCTGTATCTCCAGCTTCCCTTCAGCCTCCTTCAGTCGCTCCCGTTTGGGAGCCACCACCTTGGCCACACGATCATACACCTCCACGGCCCTCACCCACTTGCACAGGCCTTCACAAGCAGATGACACGTTTTTAATGACAGCAGGCTGAAAATTGGGGTGATCAATGAACCTTTCCCGGATTTGTTTCATGATCACTGGGGGGATGTTGTCTTTGTCATATGTCTTAAGACTCTCCAAGAACTTCAGATCTCCAAGGATCTTTCTTGACAATCCCCAGTAATCTTCTATCATCTTCCCTGTTCAGGATAAGAAAGAGCTGTATTGAGACATTTTCGTTGACATGTACAATTCTACAAATGGACTTAGATTTTTTGGGAAAATGCAAGCTCCTCCCTATGGTCTGTGAGGCCCAGGCACTTTCCCTCTGTGCTTTGATCTCTGGACTTGGGTCCTGAAAGACTTTCAATTCTTCCATGATCCCAAGTTCTTAACCATGAGCCCTTTGCCTATGCCATAAATGGCATCTAGTTTTCTCCAGACCTTCTTCATACTTTCTTCAGGCCTCTGCCTATCTATCTATCTATCTATCTATCTATCTATCTATCTATCTATCTATCATCATCTATCTATCTTCATCATCATCATCATCATCTATCATCTATTTTGAGACACAGTCTTGGTATGTACCCCAGGGTGGCCTTGATTTGTGATGCCCCTGCCTCAGCTTACCAAGTCCTGGGATTACAGGCAAGCTTTACCACTCCTAACTAGATGTAAATTTAAAAACAACCTTTATGGAGCAGCTTCTTTCAACTTTTATTGAAGGGAGCATTTCTCCTCCCTCCCCTGTCCTGGTAGAGCCTCTGTTCTCTTGATTGTATTTATTGCAATGCCACTTTTTGTTTACTTTCTATTCTAGCTCTCTCTCTCTCTCTCTCTCTCTCTCTCTCTCTCTCTCTCAATTAGAACATGTCTTATGCATGCTAGTGCTCTAACTGACCTACATCTCCAGTGTTTCTAGATTTGGTACAGTGCCTAGTACTCAGTTATCGATAAATACAAACTGAATGAATGCTACCTTCAATCCCCTCATAGACAGAGAGGACAATAGGAGCCATACTTGTGAACATGTATTTGGAATATTCTTTTTAAAAATATTTAATTTTGCCAGGTGTGGTGGCTCATGCCTTTAATCTCAGCACTTGGGAGGCAGAGGCAGGTGGATCTCTGTTGAGTTCAAGGCCAGCCTGGTCTACATAGTGAGTTCCAGGTCAGCTGGGGCTACAGGGAGACCCTGTCTCAAAAAGATAAAAAAAAATTTAATTTATTATTTTTCTTTTATATATATATATGAATGCATTGCCTGCATGTATGTCATGCAATGCCCTCAGAGGTCAGAAGAGGGCACTGGATATGCTGGAACTGGAGTTACAGATGGTTGTTAGCTGCCATGTGGGTGTTGGGAATTGAACAAAAGCAAAAGCAGCCAGTGCCCTTAACTGCTAAGTCATCTCTCCAGCCCCTGGAATATTCTTTTTCAAGTCTGAGAGCCAGGTTGGATGAAACCCAGTTAGTTCTCTTGTGATGGGCAGTGTCATAATAAGTGAGGCAGCAGTCTTGGAGAAGGAAAGTGCAGGCTTATACATGGCTAGGAGGCCACCTGTGACCTGCCCAGAAACAAAGTCAGGCTCTCTTCTCCTCAACACCATACCTGCCAACAGCTAATCAAGTGAGTTTCAATATCATCCAGAAACGGTGCTCATTTTGCTGACATGGTGAAAAAAACCAAGCTCCTCTTTGGCCTGTGATACTTTCCAAGCTGAGCCTCAAGAACAGAGTCGTACTTTGAGGATACTAGATGGAGTTTAATATATCCTGCTCCTAAGTACAGTGCAGCAACCAGCTAGATACTTCCTGTGGAAGACTCTGTATTCTGGAAAATGATCTGCTTCATTTAAATTCAAGGTACCCAAAGCTAACTCAAGTGCTCTTCCTTTTACACTCACTAAGTTCCATGGTTAATAATATATACAAGTTAATGGTGGGTTCTGAGCTCATGGCCAGGGACCCATAGTAGGAATGGGAATTCATAACCTGGCCGTGTTCTGTCTGTCTCATCAGATTTCTACCTACCTACACCTTAGAAGTACCCAAGAGCATTTGTCTGCACCTCAGACCAATGAAATAAACATCGTTAGAAGTAGAACACGGACTTCAGCATTCTTTAAGCTCCCCATGTAATTCTGTGGTGTAGAAGTGTCAGTAAGCAATCTTTGTTCAGACCAACTTATTGAACCCCAGCAGATCCTCTGAAGAATTCTCTTTAAAAGTCTACTTCTGGGGCTAGGAACATGGCTCAGTGAGTAAAGTACTTGCTGCATAGCATCCCAAGTTGGGATTCCTAGCACCCATGTAAAATCTAGGAACTGCAGCATGTGCCTGTAACTACAATGCTGGGGATCTGGAGATGGGAAGAACCTGGGGGCTCTCTGGCCAGCCAGTATAGCCTAAACAGCGAGTTCCGCCCAATCAGCCTAGCCTAATTGGTGAGCTCCACATTCTGTGAGGGACGATGTCTCAAAAAATAAGGTGCAGAACAATGGATAAAGATGCATGACATGAACTTCTGGCCTCCACATACATGCACACATGAATACAATACACGCACAGAGTCCACTCCTACTTAACCATTTCTGAACATCTCCATCTTCAAGTAACTGTTGGCCTGAACCCAGCTAGACAAGAGCGAATGCTAAACAAAGGGAAGCAGGGCCCAGAGATGTCAAGGAGAGATGAGGGACTTCTAACATTTCAGCAGGAATGAAGGTTAGCAGGAGTCTTTCCAGAAGAGAAGGGATCAAAAGGCCAGTGGTTTTGAAAGCTCCTGCTCAGTTTTAAGGCACTATCTGTAAAATAAAGTGCTGTATCAACCCCCACCTTCATTTTTGAGACTGCCTCATTTTGTTTTCATACTATTTTATTTATTATTTTTATTTTATGTGTATGAGTGTATTGCCTACAAGTACGTAAAATGCCCATAGAGGTCAGAAGAGGGTGTCAGAGACCCTGGAACTGGAGCTAGGGATAGCTGTTAGCTGCCATATGGGTGCTGGGAACCGCACCTTGGGCCTCTGCAAGAGCACCTAGAGCTCTTAACTGCTGAGCCATCTCTCCAGTCCCAAGACAGTCTTACTTTGTGGCTGATGCTGGCCTCAAACTCCCAGGCCTCTCACCTCAGCCTCCTCAGTGCTGGGATTATAGTCATGAGCCTGGCCCTTAGGCTTGGCCCTCAGTGTCTTCCATCCCTTTTGCTTTTCCTGCTCCCCATTTCTCTATCTCTGCCCTCTCTTTGTCTCTATCTCTGCACCCCTAGTTTCTGCCTCCGCCTCCCTTTGCTCCTGTCTCTAGCTTTACATTTCCAACAATTGTTCCTTCCCCACCCTAGGCCACGTCTATGTACGTGTGCTCGTTTCTCTTTTTCCCGCCGCTCTCTGTATCGCTGTGATCATACGCATGTCTGTTTCTGTCTCCATTTCTCTCTCACCCTCAACTTTTTTTCTTAGTCTTTCTGTTTCCATCCGTTTCTTTCTTCCTCAATCATCTCCTGTCTTTCTGCATCTCACATGTACGTTTCTCCCTCCCCACTTTTCTCTCTCTGTCCTTATCCCTTCTAATTCCTTGCCCTCATGAATTACTTGTTTCTCTATTCATTATCCTTTTTTGTGCATATGTGATTGCATGTGTTATTCTCTCAGTTTCTGACTTTCTCTTGTGCATACTCACAGACATGTTTGTACCACCTGGCCTTTGGTCCTCATGACCTCCATCTTTATAGTGATTTGCAATCTGAGGCCTTGATGAAGCTCAGCTCCACACACAGATACCTACATGTCTCCATGTGATTGAGTAGCTAGAGACTGTTCAAGAAGCATCAGCAAGGGGGGCAAGGATATGGCGCATTAGGTAAATGCTTCCTGCACAAGCATGAGGACCTGAGCCTGAACCCCAGCACCCATGTAAAAAGCCAAGTATGGCAGTATACACCCATGGTCCCAGAGCTAGGCAAGTACAGACAGGATTCCCAGAGCTTGCTGGCTTGCCAAGCTAGCTGAACTGATGAGCTCCAGGTTTGATGAGGTCCTGTCTCAAAAAATAAGGTGGAAACATCTAGCTATATTTGTGCAAATTACAAAAACTCAATAAAAAACTATATTTAAAAAATAAGGTAGAAAAGTGAGGGAGATACCCACTGTCAGTTTCTGGCACACACACACACACACACACACACACACACACACACACACACACGAAGTATCAGCAAAATATTTGGGTACACAGATTTTTCTAAATTCCTCCAAAACCCAAGGATCCTGCCTGGGGGCCTGGACCAGGATGACTCAGGGTAGGTGTGATTACCAGAGCCACTGGGGTCTGGCTTCCTCTCTGGCTTCAGCCCCTTCATGACACAAATGCTCTCCATCACCAGCTTGACGGGGCCTGGTGGGTTCTGCATGGACTTCACAAGGGTGATGTCGGTTGGGTTCAGGGTGTCCAGAGCGGCAAGCGCAGCCTCAAGTGCTGGCATGGCCTCAGCCAGGTCCCCCTCACATTCATTCTGTGAAGCACAGAGACAAAAGGGATGAGTTGTCAGAGCCTGATTCACAGGCCAAGGCAGAGAGGCGCTCCATGTCCAGATGTCCTTCAAGGTCAGATCCTCTCCCTGGGAGCTCTGTACTTGAAAGAGGCTCTGACCACTGCTGGCAACGGGAATTGCAGCTGCAATTTGGATGTCTGAGACATTTGGGCACTCACCTTGTTTGAGACCCAAAAATATTAAGCTCAAATCAGAGCAATAAGCATTTCCATCTCTTTGGCTTAAAAAAAATTTTTCTTTTGAGACAGGGTCTCCTTGTAGCCCCAACTGGCCTAGAACTTGCTATGTAGACGATGCTGGCCCCATCTCACAGAGATTCACCTGCCTCTCCCTCCTGAGTGCTAGGATTAAAAGCACCTTTCTTTCTCTTCTTTCTTTCTTTTCTTTCTCTTTCTATCTCTCCCTCCCTCCCCCTCTCTTTCTTTCTTTCTTTCTTTCTTTCTTTCTTTCTTTCTTTCTTTCTCTCTCTCTCTCTCTCTTTCTTTCTCTCTCTCTCTCTTTCTTTCTTTCTTTCATTTCTTTCTTTCTCTTCCTATCTTATGTACATGAGTATTATGCCTACATGTGTGTAAGTGCACCTGTGCCATGCAGTGCCCTCGAGAGATAGAACAGGGCATCAGATCCCCTGGAACTGGAGTCCTAGACAGTTGTCAGTTGCCATGTGGGTGCTGGGATTTGAACCCTGGTCTTCTGCAAGAACCACCAGTGCTCTTAACCACTGAGCCATCTCTTCAGCCCCCAAAAGTGTGTTTCTATGTGATGTGAAACTTTTAATTCTTCTAGTTATTTTGAAATACATAAAAAAAATTTTCAGCATCTGGAGAGATGGCCCAGCAGTTAAAAGCACTGGCTGCTCTTGCGGAGAACCCAGGTTTAGTTCCCAGCACTCATATAGCAGCTAACAACCATCCCTAGCTCCAATTCCAGGGAATCTAGTGCCCTCTTCTGGTCTCTGTGGGGACTGTACAACATGGGTGCACTTGCGTAAATGCAGGCAAAACATTCATAAACATAAATAAATTGCAGACCACAATTATCTATCTGTGTTATGTAGCACAAAGATTAACTCTTCTGATCAGACTTTATTTTAGTACCTATTACTTAATTCTTATAAAAACAAGGTTTTGTTTTGTGCATGCATCCCCTGTGTGTGTGTGCTATGTGTATGTGCTGTGTGTGTATGTGCTCTGTGTGTGTGTGTGTTCTCTTGCTATGGCTTGCATGTGGAAGCCAAAGGACAATGTCTGGTGTTGGTCTTTGGTTCTTGCCATCCACCTTGTTTGAGATAAGGTCTCCTGTAGTTTGCTGGTCTGTGACCCTCAAGGGATTCTCCTGACTCCACTTCCCATCCGATCCCATCACGGGGATGCTGGGATTATGGCCGTGCATGTGCTACTTCTCTGGCTTTTACACATTCTGGGGATTCAAACTCAGGTTCTCAAGCTTGCAGGGCAAGCACTTTACCCATTTTGCCATTTCTTGCCCCTAATTTTTTTTTCTTAAAGAAAAAAAGACTCCTTCCTGAGTATTCAAATTAAACATATCCAGAATGTTTGTTGATCTTGTTATTTAAAGTTTTTTGAAGTGTTGTGGTGGATGGAATTTAAACAAGCATGTTACCACTGAGCTACATCCTCAGCCATTTTGTTACTTTGTTGATGATCACTGTTTTATTAGTATAGCTAATCTGGCATTCCTTTATCTCCTACAATTGTGTGTGTGTGTGTGTGTGTGTGTGTGTGTGTGTGTGTGTGTGTGTTTGCATGTGCTGTGAAAGAGGATATCTTGCAGGATTCAGTTCTCTCCTTTCACCATATGGGTCCCAGGGACTGAATTCAGGTAGTCAGGCTTGGCAGCAAGCACCTTTACCTGCTGAGCCATCTTACCAGCCCCCTATTTGTTAACTAAAACACAAAACCAACATAATGGAACATCGCCCCCCCCACCCACACCTATTAAATAAAATGAAGCACAACAGAGGCTGGCCTTATAAACTTCATGCTGAGTAAAAGAAGCCAGATACAAAGGCCATCTGTCACACAGCTCCATTCCTATGAAATGTGCATACTGGGAAAATCCACAGAGGCAGTAGGCAAGTTGCCTGGAGTTGGGTGGAGGAGGAGTGGGGAGTGACTGCTAGACGGAATTGATTTCTTTTCAGTGGGATTGGTGAAAATGCTCTAGAATTAGGATTGTGATGGTTACACACACAGCTCTGTGAATACACTAAAAGCACTGAATTTAAAAGGCGAATATTGTAAGATACGTAGTTTATATGTCACTCGAAAAAGAAAAGAGCTTACTAGGGTAGGATTTTAGAACTGGAAGGACTCTTTTGAATTAGTAACTCAAATTTCATTAAGAAAAAATGTATCCTAAAATAAAGTGAATTATCAAGGCCACACAGCTGGGGAGTCACAGAGCTGGGCTCCTGGTTCATTTACTGAATTCTCTGTTAGTTCACTAAGTCCAACATGACTGAGTTCTTTGTGGCATGGTCTTGTTATATATCCCAAACTGCCCTTAAACTTGCTGTGTAGCCCAGATTGGCCTTGAACACATGAACATCCTCTCTGCCTCCTGAGCGTTTGGATTATAGGCTGTGCCAGATCTTGTAGAGAACATCGCTTCTAAAACAACTTCAAGCAGGATGTGTTGAAATGTCATAAGTTTAATGTGACAGGCAAACAAAATGAAGATTGTTTCACCTCCTGACATGCATGGATAGTATGAATGTTCGTGAACACTGAATCTTCTGCAAGGCTGATTAACTTAAACGAACAACTTCAGTGATTGTGGAGAGGTTAAAATATTGCAGGTCTGAGCCTAATTACAATCTATCTTGGGCTATATTTAGTTCCCTTGGTAGCCATTCCATGTCCACCACTGTGTCTGACCTAACACTCTTGTGACTAATAGGTAAAACCTTTGGAATTTATCAACTTAGCAAAACTCAAGTTTCTATCAACCAAAAGGCTAAGAATGTCATCAAATAGCATCTGAGGTCTACAGCTGAGATTCCCCTGCATTGCTGGAACTCACCTACCTGACATCTCCACTAATATATTTAAAAAGTATCATGATCTATGACTTTCTTTGTTCTGTTATTACACAAACTTCATCAAACTGTTACGACACTGGAACAGTAATTAGGGGTAACCTGAATCCATGTTTCTGGGCCATGGTCACTTATATTTGGCTTCAGAATAAACTATCTCTTATCCCCTTTGAAATGAGAATTGTGTTTTTATAACAACAATATTATATTCACATACAAGTATGTATATATTATGGATTATTTTAGGTTTTATGTTTTTCTTAGAAACATGGCAATGTTTTATTTAGTTTCATCATATTAATTACCACCTCATAAGCTACAACAGATAACCCTATTAAAATGGAATGCACAGCCAGGTGTGGTGGTGCACACTTTTAATCCCAGCACTTAGGAGGAACAGGTAGGTGGATCTTTGTGTCATCAAGGCCAGCCTGGTCTACAAAGTGAGTTCCAGGCCAGCTGGGGCTACAGGGAGACTCTGTCTCAAAAACCCAAATAATTAATAACAATAATAATAATAATAGAAATAATAATAATTTTTAAAGAATGGAATGCCCTACCTCAGATAGCAATAATGGCTCAGTCAACATGTTCATACTTGGTCCCTAATACATGTTGCAGAGTGCAACGCAATAGAAATAACTCCTACTTTTCTTTGCTGTCTCTCATGTTAGCTCTATAGGGGGTTTGGGGCACGGGTGGTCAAAGATGTGGGCTCAGGTCATAGCTCTGGACACTGGGTATATTACAATGATCCCAAGGTGTCCAAAATTTCACATTATAAATAGTTTCACATCAGTTTTTTTTAGACCAGGCTGGCCTTGAACTCACTGAGATCCGCCTGCCTCTGCCTCCCAAGTGCTGGGATTAAAGGCGTGTGCCACCATGTCTGGCACTCACATCGGTTTTTTAATACATCAAGCAGGTAGTGGGCCTCATACACGTCACACCTCCATAGAGCCTGGCACTTCTATTCTTTTTCCTAAGGGACAAAGTCTGGCTCCCAGATCAGTTTTGCTATAAGCTGGTTTGTCAAGTGACTCTAAAGGACCTCTCACTGTGACATATCGGTAATGGTAGTTTTTAACACTGGTTGCACATCACCCACGAAGCAGCACTGTGAACATCCCCACACCCAGAGATTCTGATTCACTCAGTCTGGATGGGGGCTGGCCATCTGCATTATCAAAACTCCAAAAGTCCTCCTGGAACTGGCTGTATTGAGAAACTCCACTTTACACTACCGAGACACAGAAGTCAAGGAGCAGGAAGGGATGGATTTCAATGCCCAACAGAGGAGTGGTCACTTGATGTGCGATGTACTTCCTCCAAATGGTCATTGAGATGTCCGTATGAGGGGCTGGGTAATGGTGTATTTGGTAGAGTGCCTGCAGCACAAGCATAGGAACCGAGTTTGCACCCCAGAACACACATGGGCATGGTGGTGCATGTCTATGACTCCAACCTTTGTGGGGGAAGAAGACAAAGACAGGTGAATCCTTAAGACTCGTTGAGCAGCCAACCTAGTCAAATCAGGGAGCTTCAGGTCAGTGAGAGACCCTGTCGTGAAAAAAAAAAAAAAAGGTAGAGATGGACTGAGGAAAGGCGACTTTTGACCACACATATCCTTACACACGTGCATACATCCACACTAATAAGTACACATACCACACACGCACAAAATATGAATACATGACCTCTTTGAAAAACATTCATAAGATGTTAAGAGAAAACAAAGTAGTGGAAAATCACAAGTATGCTATAGTTGCAGTAGTATAAACTATCCTGCCATGTGGACAGGGATGGGGAGGATTTTTAATTAGAATTGAGACTTGAGAAGGTGTTAAAATTGAATTCTTTAAACTTATTTCACGTATGTTGTTATGATACATGTTTGTATGATTAAAAACCTTATAATTAATAATGGCTTCTAAGTCTTAGCAACACAGGGAACATGAGGGCTGTCAGATATGGAGTCCAGTGTATTTTTATGAAACACAATCAGAGTTGTAGAAATTTTGGAAGACTATCCTCAGTAATGGGAATAAACAATTTATTAGTCTACGAAGAATTGCCTGCTTTGCTTTTGTTTTTCTTTTTTGACAGGTCTACGCAGCCCGGGCTTGCTTTGAATCCATGATCTTCCTGCCTTTGCTTCCCCAATTCTGGCACTACAGGCATGAGCCACCACATTGACAAGAACCAACCAGTTTAACACACTGCTGCCCTTGTGAATCAAGTATTAGGAACCCATCTCTGTCTCTTCTAGTCTCCAAACCTTCCCAGTATAAGTTCTGCTTGTACTGTGAAGCCCCTGATGTGCATTTGTCGTGGTCTTGTGTACTACCCATGCTGTGTTCTTAGAGGCTGTAGACGAGTGGAGAAACTTAACAGTTTAACACAACCTCTGTCCACACAAAAGCCTCAGGAAATCTGTGGCATAAACCCAGGTTTCTTTCTCCTCCTCTCTGGGTGGTTTCTTCCACCTGACTCACCTCCAGGATGTCACTTGCAAGACCTGAGCTCAGATGGCACAACACCAAACCTCACCCTTCCCACTGAAACTTGAGGTGGCAGTTTACTGCTCAGGGTGTGGCAGGGAGTCCCTGTCACTTCATAAACTTTGTGTCATTGCTCGCCTCCCTCCTGACTGCACAGGTTCTCTGTTTCCTGACACTATAGACAAAATCCTGGCTGAGATGTTCTCCTTCCCAAAGGTCCCTGCCCATGATGAGAAGTTAACCTTTATCACACCTGATAAAGGACAAAGAACAACAGTTTTGGAGAACAGCTGACATGGACCGTAAGCTCCCTCATGGGCTACACACTTTACATGATACTCATGCAGAAACTGAGGTTAGGAAGAGCTAGGCAGGGTTGCCACTGAATCCTGACTGCTTGGTTCCAGTACAAAACCATGAAAGAGTTGTAAATTCAAATGTACCAAGGGGCTAGACTGGTAAGAGTTGGAAGTGGACTGGCTGGGACTTGGGGAACCAGAACACAAAGGATAGCATCTTCTTACTTCTGTTGATGGGTACAACACAGGGAGGCAGAGCCTATGTTGCCAGAATGTCCACATTTTTTTAAGGTAAAAGCCAAACTTTCAGAATTTTTACTTGAAATCATGTGCATTTTAAATGATAACTATTTTTAACCTAAAATATTATTGAAGGTAGTAACACATATAATCCCAGCACTCCTGAGGCTGAGGCAGGGGGGCCATGATTTCAAGGCCAGCCTAGGTTATATATCAAGACACTCAAAATAAATCAATATAATATTATGTTCATGGGGCTGCAGAGATGGCTCAGTGGTTAAGAGCACTGGCTCCTCTTGCTGAGGACCTGGGTTTGGTTCCCAACCCCCATGTAACAGCTAACAACTGTCCCTGACTCCAGTTCCAGGAGTCTTCCCAGGATTCATGTGGCTCCTAGCTGCCAGTTTGCAACTTCTATAATAATGGCCAAACGCCAGGGCTTTGGGGCCAAAGAGCTATGGATTTGAAAGCTGATTATGCCACTCGGTAGCTATGCAACCTAGGAAAATCTTGTGTAACGATTTCTTCATGTGTCACCTAAGAATGATGCTATGTGCACTGAAGGCTGTTGGGACGGCTCAAGGCATTGTGAACTGAATATGAGAGAACACGATCTCTAGGAGGGAAGGCATTCTGTGTACTTTGTTCATTCCTATTTTTCCATTGACTGAAAATGTGCAAGCACACAGTAAATGTTAAACAAATATTTTAAATATGAGTTGTAGCTGGTATTGTCATTATGCTGCAGAATGGCAAATGACTCCCTAGAATCTGGTTCCTGGCACCTGGGAGTCACTTTTTTTGTAGTTTCCACTCTGTCTTCTACCCAAGACACGAGGACCATGAGTGAATAAGCTTTTATTATTCAGGACTTTGTGTTCATTATGGTCTCTGCAACCAGGTAGGGAATAGAACCTCTAAAAACAGATACCAGAGGTCAGGTCTCAGGACTTACTGGAGAAATGCCCATTGGAAGGCCTGTACATTTCAAGAAAATGTCCAATGACCTATTTAGGATCGAAGCTAGACACAGGCCACCTCTTACTCAAGCAAATGTTTGAAGAATGACTGAAGGAATTACCTAACTGCTGTGTGAGGGCACAGGGACAAATGTCTTAATGTAAGTGTCCAGAACCTTACAATGTAGTCTTGTTGTTCACCTGTGCAACTCTGAAAGGCCATTTCACCACTGACCCAATGCCATCAGCAATCAGATACTGATATTCATTGTTCCTAAGTCTCAAGGTACTCAAATGATGACCTCACTAAAAGCACTCTGGAAAATATATAGCATCACATCAGTGTTAATTAGGTAATCTACTCTCTGAATGTAGGTCAATCCCATCTCAGGACTTTTTTGTTTTTTTTTTATAGTAATCACCTTTAGCCGGACATGGTGGTACATGCCTTTAATACCAGTATTCAAGACGGGGAGGCAGGTGGATCTCTGAAAGCAAGGCCAGCCTGATCTACATATTCAGTTCCAGGCCAACTGGGGCTACAGGGAGACCCTGTCTCAAAAAGACAAACAAAAACAAAAACAAAACATCACCTTCAAATGGGGTCCTCTTGGATATCATTCCGCAAATATTTGTTCTACACGTTAGGCACAACTAAACGAGACTGTGACAGCGGTGAAGAAGACAGTCATGGGGCTATCTAAAGGAAGAACACTGCAAGCAAAGAGAACAGCTAGTGCAAAGACCCTGGGGAAGGAACAGCCAGGAGGCCAGTGCGGCTACAACAGAGAGAACAAGGGGAAAGTTAACAGATGAGATCAGATCATCTTGAGTCTTGGCCTTGATTCTGAGTGGGATGGAGAATATTTGGAAAATAAATAATGCTTCTTAGAGAGAACTGGTGCCCAAAAGACTTGCATCATCACCTCCTGCCTAAGCAACGTGGGGAAACTCATCTACCCTTTCTGAGCCTTGCTCGTTTTGTCTGCAAGATGTGTGTGACCACACAGTCTGCAGAGCTGGTTTCCTCTTTGTCTCCCAACTGGTCATACCTTGATTGCTTGGGAGATGGCGGCAGCAGTGTTGGCTTCCTTTTCATCTGCCTGGACGAGCAGTTTCTTGGCATCTGCTTCCATTGTTTCCTCTTTAATTTTTACCATCATCTTAGCTGTCTCCTTGGAGGTGAGGATGAGTTGAGGTTGAAGGGCAGTCAGTTCTTTCTGCATGACGGACACCTAGCAAAGAAAAAAGGATGGGAGAGACCCAGGGTCAGTTGTGGAAATGCTGAAAAAGCAAAGTTGACAACAACTAAACGCGAGCAGTAAGGCCTACTGCTTTTGACCTGGGACTGGGTATATATTTGTTGATGCGTGTTTATGTTTTTAATCTTTCAACATTTAGTTATGGAGTTTGTACTATGTGTTGCAGTTTCTAAGAACTGTGCTAAGCACAGAACACAATGGTAAGCTGAAAAATGTAAAGGTCTAAGTTCTTCCCTTGCTGAGCTTCTGTTCTAGTGCTAGGGACAGGAAATGAAAACCAAGTCAGAAAAAAATTAAAGCTACATTTTTTTGGTATCTCTCTCTCTCTCTCTCTCTCTCTCTCTCTCTCTCTCTCTCTCTTTCTCTCTTTCTCTCTCTCTGTGTGTGTGTATACCTGTGTGCACGTGGAGGCCAGAGGTTGATGTTCAGTGTCTTCCTTCATCATATATCATATTACATGGATTCTGGGATCCAAACTCTGGTTCTCACACTTGCATGGCAATTGTTTTACCCATGAGTCATTTCCCTAGCCCCTAAAGCTACTTTTTTGTTTATTAGTTATTGGTGTGTGTGTGTGTGTGTGTGTGTGTGTGTGATCACTTCTCACTTTTCACCTTTCCTTGTGTGTTCTGGGGATCACTCAGGTCTCCAGGCCTCCAAGGCAAGCACCTTTTCCTGATGAACTACCTCACAGGCCCTAATGCTACTTTTGATTTGACACAGTGTCTAGATATATATCCCAGGCTGGCCTTCAACTCAGTTGAAGAGAGTGTAGCCCAGGCTCTTGAACTCTCAATTCTCCTGCCTTAGCCTCCAAGAGTGCTGAGATCACAGGTATGTGCCACACACTCAGCTAGAAGGAACACTGACAGCTACTTTTTCTACTGTCGTGGACTGAATGTTTGTCTCCCTCAAATTCATGTGTTTAGGCTTAATTCAGAAATCACAGTATTTGTCAATAGGGCTTTTTGAGGTCATTAGGCTCAGGTGAGGTCATGAAGGTGGGCCCCTCACGCTGGGATAAATGTCCTTATGAAGAGGAAGATGCAGATCTGTCCTTTCTTTCTTGTGAAGACACACCAAGAAGGTTACTGTCTGGGCCAGTGAGATGGCTCGGCATGTAAAAACACATACTACACAAGCCTGAAAGCTGAGCTTGATTCCTGGAACCCATGTAAAGGTAGAAGGAGAGGGCTGGTAAGATGACTCAGTGGGTAAAAGCACTTGCCACCAAGCCTGACAATCTGAGTTCAACCCCTGGAACCCACATGGTACAAGGAAAGAAGTGACGCCCACAAGTTGTCCTCTGCCCTCCACACACACACTCCCTCCAAATATACACCATGGCATGCACATGCCAACACACATATACAAAGTAATAATAAACTAAAAATAAAATAAAGATCTGCAAACCAGGAGGAAAGTCCACACCAGGCCGTGGCTCTGACATTGCCACGAGCTTGACTTGCTCAAAGGTTTGCTGTTTCCAAGCCACCTGGAGTATGGCATCTGTTTTTTACTTTTTAAATAGTTTATTTATGGGGCTGGAGAGATGGCTCAGCAGTTAAGAGCACTGACTGCTCTTGCAGAGGGCTCAGGTTTGATTCCCAGCACCCACCCTTATTTATTATTTTTATTTTATGTGTATGAGTGTTTTGCCTGCGTGTGTAAGTGCACCCGTGTTGTGCAATGACCGCAGAGGTCAGAAGAGGGCCTCAGATACTCTGGAACTGGAGTTACAGATGGTTGTTAGCTGTCAGGTGGGTGCTGGGAACTGAATCTGGGTCCTCTGGAAGAACAGCAAGTATTCTGAACCACTGAGCCATCTCTCCAGCCCATGGTATCTTTTTTCTAGCAGCCTGTTGCCCTCTGAAACATTTCTGCCAAGAGTCATTTTTGGTCTGTGTTCGAGTACCTTTAGTGAATGGGGGGAGGGGGCACTCAGCACTTTCCAGGGCACTGTAATTTTTCAGAAAACATTAAATGAATTAAAAATCCATTAGATTTTTTTGATGAAGAGCTAAAATTTATGCCCGTACAGTTTTTACCCCCTTGAACCTCTCTGGGAGCCAGAGCATGGCAAGCTGGTCTGGTCACAAACACAGGCCCTGGAGTCAAACCAGTCTGAGCTTCAGTTTTGGTGTGACGGTTCACCAAGCTGTGTGACCGTAGGATATCATCTGGCCTCTCTGTACTGTGGTTTCTTTCTAACAGGGTATGACGGCTGCTGTCCTCCCACACAGCACCAGGCATGTGACCTATCGTGCTGAGAGCATGCTAACCGGTGATGTCATTCCCTTTTCTGATCCAGACTGTTTTAGGTCTCTTTCCTGCTCCTCCAACAACGTGCTTTTCTCATTCCTGTCTAGAGACACTCTAGCTTTCAACATCTCTCTAATAGCCAAGGATTCTGAATTGGACTGAGCACCCCCAGGACTAGAGGAGAGAAGTCTAACTCTGAGGTTCTCTCTGTCCCCTGTCATAGTGTCACAGTGACAGGTCAGGCCATTGTAAGTCAATCCATGCCTCAGTTATCTATCTAAAATCCATCTGTTAATATGGTTCTAATCTTAGATGACTGGTCAAGAGGCTCCAAGCACAAATCAATGAGTAATTCAGACACCAGGCACTTTTTGAAGAACTATACTTGTGTCAACTCTTAAGCCTGATAAACTGTTATTATTAGTTTTTTTTATAGAAGAGGAAACTAAGGCCCAAAGAGGTAAAATAACATATTCAAAGTTCTACAGCTGATAAACTAGAATTTGAGTCCAGGCCTGACTTTATAAAGCCCTGCCTTTTCCTGCCCAATTCCCCACAAGAATGCTACAAGTGAGGTCCAAAATGAAAGGGAGCACCATATGCAGTAGTCAGGATAAACGCTACTTTAATATATAATAATACATATATTATAGCAAAGTTTTATAT